ACATTTTAGAAGACATTAAGAAGGATACAGTAAAGAACCCCAATGCATTCTCTTCTATTTATTCAACTCTGAAAAGTTTAAATTTAAAAGAGCTGATTTTTTTTTGGTGGAAATATCTTGATTGCCGATGAGAGTCTGGTTTTGGAAACTTCCTCTTAGTTTTGTTTATCTCTGTCTGCTCTTTGCTACCAATGTCAGGAATGTTAAGCAAAGAAGGCCTTCCTGCAGGGCCTGCTTTTTTGAGGAAGTTGTTCTAACTCAGACACAAGGCTTATGTCATGAGATTTCTGGGTCATCAATACCCAAAAGGCCTCTGGCTTTTTGGGTGGGTAAAAGAACTGACTGACTGTACTTTTGTTTTTCAGAAACCAATAACATCCACCATATTAAAGAGGAATCTGATGTTTATTTGTGGATTTTTTTAAAAGCCCTTCGGTCAGACCTGCAAATAATACAGTCTTCCAAAATTAAAGGAATACCAAAATAACTATGGCATTTCCTCAGTTGAGCATAATGGTTTCTTCAGAGCAGATCTGCTGCATAAACACTGGACATTTTCTTTCCCTCCAGTAACATCTGTGAAGTTTGCCACTTGGGAAAACGAAGGACTAATAACTATGGCCAGACATGGGTGGGCACAGGTGCTTCAACACACAGTTCCACAAACACAGACCAGTTCTGGCAAGTAGGCTGTTTTTGACTGACCCCTTCAGCCCTCAGTCACATGGTGTGTTTCGCCTGGGATGAACAGGGCACCCTGCTGGCAAGATTGTTAGCAGCAGCATCTAACGGGACTGACTTTTTACTGGCAGAGTGCATTCCCTGAACATAGTGACTCTTGGAACAGAGAACATCAGCCCAACAATTTATTAAAAGCAATTGTGTGATTCCTAGATCTAGCCAAACATTTGGTGCATGTTATATAACCCTCTAAGACCACACTTCAGTCCTACCTCTTTAAAGAAGTTTCCCTAACTAGCCCAGATTATTATGAACCTCTGGTTTCCCTTGGCAACCATTGTTTGGAATGTTCACCCAGCACTTAACCGAGTACTGTGTTGTGAGACATACCTCTTCTGTTTGTAATGAAGTTATTTTACATTTTTATTCTATCTAATTTCTTTCTATTAAAACTATTAAAATATTAAAAATATTTAAATAATAAGAAAAAATGTTTTATATTTTCCTGCATATACTGGCACCTTTCCTGAGGATCTTCTTTTATGTATATTCATATTTCCACTGTTTTTCTTTTCTTTCTTTCTGAGGGACTTCCTTTAAATTTTCATATAATGCAATTCTTTTGGTGATGAATTCTTTCAGCTTTTGTATGTCTTAGTCTTAGTGTTTATTTTGCCCCCAATTTTTTAGAAACTATTTTGACTGGGTATAGAATTCTAAATTGATAGGCTTTTACTTTTAGTACTTGAAGTGTACTGTTTTCTCATTTGCATTGTTTCATTAAGAAAATAATGTAATTTTTATCTTTGTTTCCTTGTACATAAGGTTTCCTTTTTTCTCTAACTCTTAAAAAATTATTTTATCTTAGGTTTTGTATAGTTAGGTTGTGATTATGATGATAAGGTTTTTATTATGATTTTTTGTGGTTTGATTTATTGAACTTCTTGCACCTGTAGACTTGTGATTCTCATCAAATTTGGAAATTTTCAGGCATTATTTCTTCAAATATTTTTTGGCCCTCCCTCCTCCTTCAGGGCTCCAATTATGTGTACACTAGAGTGCTTGAAGTTTCCTCACAACTCTTATACTTACTTTATATATTAAAAATTCTTCTTTCTGTTTTATTTTGAATGGTTTATATTGCTGTGTCTTCAAGTTCATTAATCTTTTTTTCTGCAATACCTAATCTGTGCTCCTTCTGGCTCTACCTTAGAGGATCTGTGATAAGTCAGATTTTTAGGCATCCCAAGAAGGACATCAGATGTTTCTTAGTCCTCAAATGAGAGTATCTCTAAGATGAAAAACCTTTTTCTTGCTGATGCTGACAACTTCTCAGAGCATAATTTCTGTATTAGTATTAGCATAATCAGATGTCCTAGTTTGACTGGGACAGTAATACCCATTGTTTTGAGTTAATTATTAATGTATTCCCTTTTGTTCTTAAAAATCTCCTAGTTTGAAAATAAAGTATATAGTTACCCAAGCTATTATTTTTTAAAAAATGCCAGTCTTTTTACTGTCTTTTATTAGCAATCCTCTCAGTGTTAGGCAATGTGTAAGTGGAAGTTCCTCATCATCTTGCTGGCTTCATGGTGTCTGTGCTGTTGAGAGAATGCTGGCTCAATAGTGCTTCTGTCAATTTCTCTCTGGAAATGACCCAATGAAATGACTTTCATATTATATGAGGAAACACCCGTCTGTGGCACTGTTTTCTTTATGTCTGTACTTTAATGGGCAAACAAGACCAAGAAGAGATTGTTAAAGCTACTTTTTGCTTGATACTTGAGAGAGATGCATGGGATCAGCAGGGTGGTATGTTGAGAATCAAGGGTCAAATTTCCCTGTTTTCACAGTCTTAGAACTATGTGTTTATATGAGTGGTTTCTCTTTCAGAAAATCCAAGAACTGCATCAGATATTGGACAGATTCTACCTTTTGGTGTTTTTATTACTCACTTTTTCAGTCTTCCTTTAGTTCACTAGGAACCCAGCTTCCCAGGGAGCTTTTATTGCTACTTCTTGGATCAGAACAAGGAATGACTTTTGGGCAGATGGGTATCTAGATATAAACAATAGGGCTTGAAGAAGGCAAGGGGTAATGTTCACCTAGGAAGAATATATCTAATGGGAATTTTAAAGATAGTACTTATTGTGCTTTCCCTCACAGTAAGCCAGTTTTTTTGTTCTTCAGAAATTAAGGCTAGGCACAACATTCTATTGTCCCAGGGAAGGAGCAGTAGATGGATATTCTTTTGGTTAAAAATACCATTGCCCATATTTGAATCTACATGCAGATTCTTTCAAATTCTTTGTGAAATAATACCATCAAAATCCACGCCTTGTTGGAACAGAAAGTATTTTTTTTTATTCTAAACTTCCCTTTATTTATCAAGAACAAAACATGGTGGTCTGAGCATATTTACCATGATGAAGAGAGGAATGAAGATGTGGTGCAAGGGAAGACCCATGCAATAGTAATAAGGAAAGATTCTTCCAGTTGCTGTGGAACAGAGCCAAGAAGGTTGATAGTTGGGCAAATGGTCATATGCAAGTATTCTAGCTCTTCTCATAGGGTCAGGCCCCTCTTATGAGCTGGACAAATATCAACCAGGTCAAGGGATGGTTCAAGAACCATCTACTACTACTGAAGCTAGTAGTCTATGTCCACAAAATTCAGTGAGGGGAATGATATTCCTTAGCAAAGCCCCATATACAATTTGGTATTAGGGCAACAGAGCTCATGTGAGCAGAAGAGCAATGGCTGAAGGAGGGGCCTTGAGTTGCCTCACAGAACCCTGTATCATGAGGTGTGAAGAGAGCGGGCAAACATTCTGGAGCTTCCCAGTGTGGCACTGGCATACAGGACAGCAGACCCAGGAGGCCTGGCGCACAGGATTCACTGCATATACAGGCCATGGCTAAATCCATGATCACTGACCTGTGAATGACAGCACAATACTGCAGCACCAGCCCAGCCCAGCCAAGCCCAGTCCAGCCCAGCCACAACTCAGCAGAAACCAGCACAGTTCTTCCAGGAACAAGGCAAGATGAGAGCATCTCAACAAATACTTTTGAGAAAAAGACTGCGCTCCCCCAAGGCTGTAAGGCTGCGTTAGTTGCCCCTCACATGCAGATGCCAGTTTGGGCAGAGAGACCGAGTAAAAATCTTGAGAGTGAATATTAATTTCTGATAAGATATTTTAATTTAAAGAGAATAACTTGCCATAAATTGGCAGGTGCAATTATTTTTCTGCCATCAGCAGGAATAGGGTTTCCAAAAGAGTTTTAAAGAACAAAGAAATGACCTTTGGTTGGAGATTTGAACCTTGGTCTATATTTTTCAGCCCCTCTCCCCTCTCCCTGAGTTACACTCTCCTCAGGGTTAGCAGTCGTCCTTGAGGCAGAATCCCCCAGGGAGAGCTAGTCCTCTGGGGCGAAGCACAGGGCTCCCATCGCCAGGCACCAGAGCCCCCAGCAGGGACCACCTCCTTCCTAAACAACTGATGCTGCTGCCTTGTGCACAGCAAGAATCTCCTAGAGTAAGTAAGCGAGTGACAGAGCTTTGTTGGATGAGCTCACCTTCTCCCACCTCCTCTCACAGAGGTGAAGACAAGAGAATTTGACTCTTGTTCTGACTTCTCTTCAAACACAGGGTACGTGACAGAGACACAAAGAAACTTTATCCTTTCTATTCCATTCTGTTAATCTTATATACAGTTCTGTGTACAGCTATTTATGAAAATAACAGAATTCATACTTAACCTTTAATTTCTCATTGGTTCTAATTGTCATATACCATAATACTTATTCATAAAAAAATACACTTACCTTTTACTTTTGATTTCAACTTAAAAACAGTTATTCACCACTGTGCAAATGAGTGCACATTAATTCACAATCTTTTAATGTATAGCCAATATGTCAAATTATTGAATATATGCTGGTTTTTAAAAAAAACAAAACCACTTCATTGCACATTATCTATAATTCCTAACTTTTATTTCTTTAAGGTCGACTGCGATTTTAAAGATACTTGTAAAATATTATGAGTGTAAAATGCTTGTAGAATAAAATGACTCTCCCCTCTGCCAATTTTTTATACTCATTGTCCAAATGTATTCCAATGGCAATTTTTGGTGACTCACTTTTATCAAGTCTTCCAAAAGCTTTCAACTTAACTTTCATAGACCCAACAATTTTCCCTCTTTTTAGTCAATATTTCCTTAATTTATGTAATAATTTATACACTTAAACTTATAAGGACAACTGGCATAAACAGGCATGGGAACAAATACCACCATCAGACAGGCAAACATGTACCTCAGCTGGCAGGAGCTTGGCAGGCAGCGGAAGAGCCCGATGGCCATGAGCACTCAGCACGCTGTGGGCACCCCTTGGTGTGCTTTACGGAGAGGAGTGGGAGACAGTGGTCAGGATGGAAAGTGCAAAGGAGTCGTAAGTTAACGGACCTTCTTACAAAGTCATTCCCAGCAAACTTAGATTGCATTGCATAAGCCCACCAGCAGCATCCTTTATCCACAAAGTCACCTGAGTTTTCAAGTACTGGCTTTGGAGTATTCAGTACAGGCACTCTTGATACAATCCTGTTGTGAGTTTTTAAATTATTGTCTTTATAATCTATTTCCCATCTGGTCTTCCTGATTTGAGATAATGAGTAAGTTCTATTTCTTTTATGCACGTAACAGAGTTCTTAACTAGACTGTCTAGTTATCTCCATCATGTTTTCTGGAACTATTCCTTACTTTCCTGCCATTGTTTGTCCCACCTTTTATCTACTCCCTGGATCAGTTCTATACCATCTTCTAAACTTGAGTAGTTTTTCAAAATGCTTAATAGTCAGTAAGGCAAGGGCACCTGTCAGCAGATGGGTTGCCTAACACTAGAACTGGGTCACCAGGCTATCTGTGGAGCTACATTAACCTGGTTGCTATGTCATAGGGAGGCCCAGGTGGTCTATGCTGCAGGAACACAATCAGGAGGCTCAGAATGGTAGCTGTTTATCTACAAACATCTTAATATTTTAGCAAATACAGCGAAACATGTGTGTGCTATGTATAAGCCAACAAATAAGAATTTTCTCATAATTCTAAGGCATTTTCACTGTGTGTATAAACATGCAAACACATACACATACTAACTCAAAAATATCCACTGTCATATTATATCATCAGGAGTTACAAAAAGTCAATATTGTCATTTTAATAGAGAAAAATAATTTTTTTCAGACTTCCTATTATAAAAGTATTAACAATTTCACCCATGAAAGTGGTGGTAATTAGAAAATATTCTTACTTATGAAGGAAAACTTTATCTAAAGATAAAATAATTTTATTTATGTTTCTAATAGTAGCCTGGATCTAGTTAAATCAGTCATACCTCCTGGAAAAGGCAAGGGAGGATTTTCCCCCTAGAATCTTCAGAGGGCCTAAGGTCCTGCTGACACTTTGCTTTTAGAATTCTAGTACCTAAGGATACAAAATTAACACACAGAAATCTGTGGCTTTCCTATACACTAACAATGAACTAATAGAAAGAGAAACCAGGAAAACAATTCCATTCACAATTGCATCAAAAAGAATAAAATACCTAGGAATAAACCTAACCAAGGAAGTGAAAGACCTATACCCTGAAAACTA